TCAGCTTATGCATGGCATTCCTCAAGTTGGCTGTAATACTAATCCCTCAAATACGAATTCCTCAAATGGGCTGTAATACTCTAATTTTAATTATACTCATCTTGACATAGTAAATTTTCTTTACCTACATAAGTCTGGAATGCCTTTTTTCCAAAAATGCTGGTGAGGGTTTTTTTCCAGGATGTTTAAATACACAGTTCAGCCTGTTGCATACATTTCTGATTTTAGAAGAAATGAGAGATTATATTATAACTTATTATATTATATTGTATATTATTTTTTTGAAATTGCGAAAATATTTGTGTATTACATCTGTTAAAAAAACAAACCAAACAACACTGCCCCAAAAGAAACCCCTCAAAACAACCAAATGGTAGATATTTATCCAAACAATCGAAACACAAAGTTTTTCTTGGGTTGGGGGAGCAAGTGGGAAATAGAGAATGAGAGACAAAGTGCTAGTTTGAAGAAATGGTCATGCATGTTTAAAACAGCAGTAGTCCTCTAACATGTTCAAGTTTAATTTTATAAAGGACTAAAATCTCTTAGATCTGCTGATAATTATTGAGACTGAAAGAAATGTTAAAAATTGTGATCAGAGATCCGAAGTATTTACTCTTTATGAAAACTGAATAGGTGACAGCAGTAGCTTTTGGCAAGGTATTGTACAGCACAGAACAGAGAGAATTCCTGTCCGGTTCCCTAAGGTGTTGCTCTGAGCTGCTTTCTCATTTTTTTTTTTTATTCCAGATGAAGAGACAAACACATCTTTATTCCCCTGTGGAAGAATCTACTAAAAGCATCCTAAAACAAAACTAAGCAGTTGGTTTGCTCTTTATTTTTTTTCAGATCCAGTTGCTCACAGGAAATATTGGGTGGGTGGCTCTTGACAAGGGAATGAATAGGAATAGTTTGGGACTCAGAAGTGGTTTTAATGTGTGCTAAAACTAGACTGAAACATAAATAAGGACATTTTTATGTTTATATTTGTACTAATTTTCCTATCTTGAAAAACTCCTCAAAATGCCCCTTACTGACTTTGTGTTTTCCTGTGCAGTTCTATGAGTTGAAATTCCATTGTTACGGACTGTTTAAGATCTAATGGTCAATAGTTTGATTGCTGTTACCTTGCCAAACTTTAAAGGAACTCTACATGCTTTTAAGGAGCTGAAAGAAGGTCTGTAATTTGCATAAAATGGAACCAAATCAAGGAGCTGAGTATAAGGCTTGAATTTATATTTTGTTTTTCAATCCAGAAGTCTAAATCTGTTAGTCATCATCTCTAGTGATAACTCATTACCCCACGAAGCATCTTGTAAATTGTGTCTCTGAAACATTGTATTAATAGATACGTTTTTTGGCATTACTTTGCTATTCTAGAAAATTGTCCTAAACCCCAGCTTTTATCTTAAGAAATTTTTATACCAAATTGTACTTAAGTAGTGCTCCGTATCTGCTTCACTTAATGACTTATTGTTCACCACTTTCTATTGCTTTGCACATCATTTGTTCAGTAAATGTCATCAGTCTCTGTGGAATTTCTCGGGTTTTGACTTGAAAAGCTGCTGTGTCATTTTTGCTGTATCCAAAGTCAGCCTTAAGCCAGTTAGACTAACCTCAAAGCAGGGCTAGCTCTGTACACTGTGTTCACTTCCTCTCAAGAGGAGAGAAATAAGTAATTTCCACTTTCATTTTAAAGAATAAGTTGAATTTGAAGATGTGTTTTTGTATCCCTGACCCTACTGACAGTGGTACTTTAGTACCAGAAGGTCCCCTCAGCGCATTTGTATCTGTTACTGATGGACCACTGTCTGCTCCGGGACCAGAGATATCAAGAACTGTTGCAGCATTTTCAATTCTTAATTGAATTTCAATGGGAATTTCTTTCATGTCCTGTACTGGAAATAGCAGATCTGGGCTCTGGCATTGTGTCTGCCTCAGCAGCATCCTTAGGTAGTTTGTTGTTACATTTTCCTTGTGTGTAGTTACACACCCAAGTCTATTCTCCCAGGTTCTAGAAGAAATCGTGTTCAGTTGTCCTTCAACTGCTTCTGGGAATGCTGGTTCTGTGTCTTCCCTCCCAGAATCAGTAACTGGGAAGACTTCTGTCTAATGCAAAGACTGAAATTCTTTCTAAGGGTTACACTTTACCTCAGTGTCTTGATCTAAAAATTCAGCTGGTTCAGCAGCCGATGACGAGGTGGCTGAGTTCAGCTGAGCTTCAGGAATTCTGAGGAGTCACTCTGTCTTTTTGAAATTATTTAGTCATCTTTATCACAAGGATTTTTTTCAGTCACATATTCTTAGCTTCTTCTTTCCTAACCCAAGTCACAGCCTGTAAATACTTGGCAGTTGATGTAAAGCCAGAAAGTCTGTTGTTCTCTATGAGCACCAGAATGTGGCTGGTACAGGTCTGTTGAAGAAATCCTCTCACATTGTCCATGAGTGTTTGTTTGCTTGTGACTTCTGGTCACTGTTGCAGAAGGGAATGTGTAAGGTTTTTTGCTCTTGATCACTGCTTTTTTTGTCAGAAATTCAGGTCCCAAATCCTTAATCCTAAAACAATGTTAATATTTGCTAAAACAGTTTTCTTTGCTTCATTTATTACAGTCACTGTAGTTCCCTAAAAGTTCTGTTGTCCTTAAAATTGCTTTGAAGATCTTCTTAGAATTATTAAAAGTGAAAAAACCAAACAAAAAAAAGAAGAGCATCTTGAATTTCACTTTATCTTTTGAGCTTTCAACTGGAAATGGGTCTATGTGGTTTGGCAAAGTACCAGTTCTTTGGCTCTATTTTGTTACCATGGCAAATTTTAATCTCTGACCTGTGGTTTCTGATCAGATCTTGCTTGTAAAGTCCCAGAGGAGAAAAAGAAAAACCACCCAAATCCCATAAACCCAAACTAAATCATTGCACAATCATTCTTGCTTGCATATTCTTTTTAAAGGAATATATCGGCATCTGAAGAAGAGAGCTATAGTTACAAGAGGGTATTGGTTCTCTTACATGGTCCACATGTGAGCTCACAAGTAGCACAGCTGGACCTCAGCAATCAAAAATGCAATATTTTAAAGACTCCGTGTTGACCAAAGAGTTTATTAATTTGGAGTAATCAGTCACAAAGGACAAGTCATCCTGCCCTGTGGTGAGTACATTTTTTTTTTTCATCTTTTGTGGATGACAACTGCAGTAGTGTAAATTGCTGTCATCTACAATAGTGTGATAAATTCAGGCATTAGTAACCGAAGAGTTACAGCGATTTGCCACTGTAAAGTTCCCCTTGAATGTTCTCAAAACGCAACTGCAGAAAGCTTTGAGCCAAATTCAGTGTTGGCCTTGCTTTGTAGAGGGGAAGGATCTGGTGAGCCTCAGGGACCTTTCCAGTTACACCATTCTGTGATCACATGTAAGCAACAGGGGTGGGAGATGTGGAACTAAATTCTGTTGTCAGGAGGGACAGAGGGACAGCAACTGTGGTGCAAGGCTGCTGATACTTTAAGCATCTACAGAGAGAAACAACTTGATGGCTGTCAGAGTTCTGACAGAGATGTGATTTTTTCGCTTCCTAGCTGGAAAGGAAAAAAAATATCACTTCTGTAACCTAATTACACAGGGTAGATACAGAATCAGGTGTTGGTCTTTGTTGGGTTTGTTTTACATTACTCTTTCCTCTAAATGAATGAGCTTCTAGTTGGTTTTACCTTATATCGTGGGTCCATCAAACAGAGCAAACACAGGGGTGGCCTCACATGGGGCACTGGGTGCAGTTCTGGGCCCCACGGTTTAGGAGGGATGTGAAGGTTCTTTACCAAGAGGATGACTGAACCCTTGAACAGGTTTCCTAGAGGGCTGATCAATACCCAAAGCCTGTAAGTGCTCAAGAGGCACTTGGACAGTGAGTGCCCTTACTAACAGGCTTTCACATGGTCAGCCCTTGTCACATGAAAGGGGGGGAATTCATTCAACCCTTAGAGAGGGAGGATTTTCTCAACCCACAGGGATTTATTTGTCTGTTAGTGACCCAGAGGAAAAGAAACCAGTCTGTCAGGTATCCTGCAAGAGGGCTCTTCACCAAACAGATTCACAAGATCAGAGGGTGTTTCAATTGCCTTTATAGGGAAGGCCCCTCAGCAGGCCTTGTTGTTCTGCTGTTGGCAAATTGTCAGCACTTATAAAGGACTCACCCTAACAGTTTACAGACTAACACTCCTTTTAATACAAATTGTGGCAGGTTAATAAGGTTCACAGGTTGTCAGTGAGTGTCTGCCTGCAAAAACATATTAAAACCAATCTAACGGTACTATAAAGCAAACACAAACACAAAGTCTAATACAAAACAATCCACCAACATACTAGGGAGCATATTATCCAGCAGGAAATCATCCTCCAACCTTTCTCCTTTTCCAACTTCATTTCATACTATTTCTTTAAGTTTAGGTGGCATTTGAGTGAATCTAGTCATAAATACTTAATTGGGTAGTCGTCCTTGGCATCTGTCTTCCTTGGCGGGCAAATACGACGTGCTCTTTGAACGACAAAGTGTCACCATGTTCCAATTCCTGCAGGATGTTTATGGAGGGAGGCTGTAGAGCCTTCATGTCACACCCTTCTCTATTGCATCCCCCAAAACAGGTGTTGATCACTGTTTTTGGGGAACTATTGTGGGGCATCGTGACCATGCTCCATGTGGGAAGCAGCAGCTAGGTCTCCTCTGTAAATCTTATTTTCCTTTAACTTTTACCCCTATCCATTACTCCACAGCCCTGAATTGCTCAGGCAGTTGCACTGGAGGGTTGTTGTAGGTCCCTTCCAACTGAAATAGGCTATTCCTGTTCTACTCTATTCTATTCTCTTTTGATGTGGGGTTTCACAGAAGTCAGAAATTATTTATCTAATAGATAGTAGTTTAAAGTTTAGTATTATTTCTGTTATTTTCTAATTGTTAACAGCTTTTTACTTAAATTGCCTCTAGCACTGGAAACAAACATTCAGAAGGAAAAATGGATCACTGGTCTTGGTCAGAAACTAACAGCTTTCGACTTTTCACCCCTGAGTCCTTGGCAGCAATTGAGCGAAGAATTGCTGAGAAAAAAAGCAGCCAGACAAAGAAAAAGAGAAGAATAAGCACGAAGGAGTTGAAGAAGAACAACTTACTCCCCAGCTTGATCTGCAAATCTGCAAAAAGCTTCCATCTCTTTATGGGGACATTCCAGCAGAGCTCATTGGGGAACCCCTGGAGGATTTGGATCCATACTACAGTGATCACAAGGTTAAAATTTCCCAAAGCATTTCTTTGATTTAACTTTGTTTGCTGAACTCTTAAGAGGTAGTAAAAGCTCTAGTTGGGAGATGTTGTGTTTTGATGGTTCTCTAGACAGGGCTTTCAATGTTACTGACATCTTTTGGGGCAGGAGTGCTAAGGTGTGCCCTGCTTTATGCCATGAAGATGCATCTTCAGTTCCAGTCAGCAGTCAGATTTAATTATGAGAACATACTACACATGATTGATACACTTTTACAGGAAATATATTCTAGGGTAAGGGATGTTTTGTTTTCCAGAGCAATCCCTGTGATGCCTGTGAGGCTGAACTGCCTGTGCTGTACAACAGTGCCTGTCCCAGAGTAGATCATGCTGGAATTGCAGATGCTTTCTCTGAATTCCAAAGATTATACCAATTAGGGGAGGCATATTGGAGATATTTCCAGCACTCTATGTAATAAAACTATATATTTGCATTGTTGTAAATTAATTTTCTTTTAGTTTATGTCTGGTTGGCTTTGTTTATTGTACCACATTTATATTGCATATCCCCCATGTGATTGCAAAGGTGTTGATGATGTTGCCTGTAGGAGTGTTTAAAGTAGATGATAGGAATCCCTCCACAATTAAATGGCAAAAAATTTAATTCATTTAAATATTTCATATCCTATGAATCATTTCTTTACAGACTTTTATAGTGCTAAATAAAAGGAGGACTATTTTCCGGTTATCGGCTACACCTGCCTTGTGTATATTTGGTCCTTTTAATCCAGTCAGAAAAGCAGCAATTAAAATTCTGACCAATTCATATCCTTTCATTGGTTTCCCTTTTTAGAGTTTTAAAATAATCTGTACCATTTTCTGTCGTTCTGTTTCTCTGTTTATATTATTGGGAATGTAAGCTTAAATGGCTGTGATAAAGATTTTTTAAAAGTTATATTGAATCTTATGTTACAACAGCTCAGATATTTCCATGATGTTGGTGAAAACATGAAAGAGCTGATATTTTAAATAAATTTTGCAGATACTGGTATGAAAGAACCTTTAGAGGTTATTGTATGATATTGTAGCCCTTTTCCAGAACTTGTTCTAAATCTCTGCTGTGGTCACAAGGTTAAATTAACAACATACAAACAAACAAAGCAAACTGGGGACTCCCTAGTTATGAAAATATGAAAGATGGGATTTATGCTGAAGCTTTTCTGGAAGAGTCTCATGTTATCCTAAGAAATGCATTCCATACTCAGGTTTAAAATTTTCTAAAGAGTGCCCATCTTTCATATTTCTAAAACAATATAACTGTAGTTCAGGGAATGTCAGAATGTGAAGAATTTGCAGGTGCAAAACCATCAACTGAGTAGTTTCTGTTTTTTCTGTCAAACATCAGTTTTCATTTGGAACTATTAATTTGTAGAAATAGGCCCTTTTAGTGGAACTTATGTCTGACTTTGAATATGTATTCCTGCTACTAGAAATTTCTAAATTTACTATTCACTTTCAATTAAACCCTGAATTTAAAACACTGTTTTTAAACAAAAAAACCCCAATTTTATTGCTGAGAGGTGAACCTTTATGAAAGAACACTGGTTATTGTTTATTAAGTGTTTTCAAATGGGCTTAAACCCCCTAGTTACTATGGACTTGTGGTCCATTTCTCTTTATTCCATCCTTCAGCTGCAAAAAAAGAAAAAAGAGGTTTTTCAAGTTTCAAATACAGTAGATCATTTTTTTCATTTATTTATGTTTTTCATCTCTTCTGTCAAACATGTTATGTCCCACTAAAGTCCTAACTTCTGAAACCATCTGCACATTTTTATATGTAAATCATGAAGTTTTCCCAGGTGACCAGGTTTGATCTGTTATTAGTTTCTTTGGAAAACAACCAAAAACTCCTGATCATATCCAAAACCAAAGTCATTATTGAAATATCTGTATGCTTTTTGCGTGGAAATCAGGACATTCTGTGAACTTCATTGTTTTATAATGTAGCATTTTTTCCTTAACTTACTATTCACATGTTTTGTTGGCTTTATTATATGTACCGTGCTACTCAATTGTTTTTTTATGACTGTACCTCTGCTTCCACCAGAACTCAACTGGACTGAGTAAGTATCTCAGTGGCTGTGTGCTCCCTCTTTTTCCATGGGTACTTACATGCAGGAGTGAAAAATTTAAATAATGTGGTGCTCTAATTCAGGGCCTTGAAAATTCTCAGACAGACTCTGAGGAAGACTGAGGATTGTTATTCTATCCCACAGTCTTTGGTGGAGCTTCAGTGCCTTTTCTTAGGGCCTCACACCACATGCCCTTCCCTCTCTGTTGGCTAATTTTGCCATCTGGTGTGACATAGAAGGTTGCCCCATTTTTCCTTTTAAGGACTGAGCCTTTTAGAGAGATTTTGGGGTAGGATTCTGACTTAATATCTCTCCTTCTACAGCAATAACCTGAATATGTGTTAAGGTTGGCTCATGCAAGAACTAGAAAGGGATAAATGTCCATTCTGTTCTTTCTTCCTGTTTCCTGATGACACTCCTGGGTCATTTGTTCCCATTAGAAAGGCATCTCTTTGTAATGTCTTGTCACCTTTAATACTTGTGCACTGTATCCAGTGCAACTTAATTAAATCTTGAAAATGTGCCTGGAACCTCGGAAGTATTATAATTTCAATTCCTTTTATCTTGGGGTAAGGATGGTGATTACAATAGCTTAATTTTCTGTAGGATTTCTTGCAGTTACAGATTATTTGTTCTATTGATCTGCCAGAATGTTGTGATTTTCCAGCCTGCATTAGAATATAAACACAGCGTTAAAAGTGTTTCCTAAGGAAGTGTGAGCTATCCTTCACTCAGAAATAATATCGTATGCTTATGTGAACTTTTGTGGTTACAGACTTACATGGAAATCTTACTAGAATTCAGGAACACATCTTCTTATAGCCATAATGCTTCTGAAATGAATGTTACCAGTCCTATTTTACTTCATATTGTCTACCTTTACTCTATTCAAGGAA